TGTTTAGACAATATCTAAAATAATGTGAAAGTAAATTATCCTACCATTAATACAGTAATTAATGCAACAGGTTTGAGCGGGAAAATTCCAGCTGCTCCGCTTTAATATATACTAGTACGCCACCCGCGCGTTGCGCGGTATGATGTTAAATATATTGATGAATTTTAATTTCAACAAATAACAATTTATTTACAATAATGTCACTTATTAGACATTTGAATAATTATATATAAAACATTAGTTGTAGGCGAATTTAGTTTATTATGATCACTATTGTCATTGAACATATTAATCTTTCGTTTATAATTCTAGAAACAACAATATGCTATTATTATGATTAAGTGCATGTTTTTCCAGCAATAATATCATATATAACAACGATAGTTATTGACTTCGATCAACTCATATTTGCCTAAGACAACATAATAAAAATTATCATCGTTTCAATTTAAATGGTTGCCTTGAATTGGAAAACGTCAAGGATAATTGTAGAACAAAAAAAAATCATATGTGAGAATTTCACCTTTTATATTTTAAAATTGTGTTTTTTAGTTTTTTGTTGAATTAAGAGAAAATTCTTCAAAATCGTCATTATTCATCAAGTCAATAAAATATCGAGTTATTTGGACTGAAAATTATTTATAAACGGAAGCTAATTAAACTTCTTGAAATGTGCATTGAGATTTTCGTTGCAAAAATATTAAATTATTTAAATAAAATTTATTATGGCAATGTTTGACAAAGGAAAGACAACTATAGCAAACAATTTTTACTCCAACATACATGTAAATTGATGAATATATTTTGATAGTTTTTTTATAATTTATTTACTTTTGAACATAAATTCACATCAATTTTAATTGCACAATAAATGTTAAATTAAATATAATGTTTATAAATTATAAATTTTGAAGCATGTCAATTTATTTCCAAAAAATGAACTCGCATTAGATTTTAATTTTGAAAAATATTTATAAATATTAGTTCTCAATTCAGCCTCTTAGTCTTAACACATTGTGAAATTTTATTTAATTTTTTCCAATTAAAAAAGTTAGATATGATGTTGTTGTATTTTAAAAAGACTATTATTCTACTTTACCAAAAAAAAAAAATATGACTTATTTTTTCAAAATTAAAACCAATATTCAGTAAGCTAAAACATAGATTAAATTTTCCCTAACATAATTCTTGTCAATGAGTCTATATATTTCATATATAATAACATTAAATAATAAATATATGCAACCTTTTATGTTTTATTTAGTTTTAAGACAAACTATATTATTTTCAGACAATAATTTTTTTATCTTGATTTAATTTTTTCCATAAATTCAGGTACACTAAGCCTAAATGAGTTAATACATTATTTATCACGTTAATAAAACATTATTTTCGATAATAACCACAAACTTGGATATTATATATTCACGTTAAAAAAAATCATTTTCGATATCAACCTCAAACTTGGATATTATACCCTTACTTCTTAATTTTATACCCTTTATATGTCAGATAGTTTGAACAATATTACTTGAATTATCCAACTCTAGAAAGACTAACAAAAGATGATGATAGGATACTTAATTTGAGTTGTGCCTTTAATATCTAATTCACACACACAAAAATAAAAATAAAAAGTAAAGAATTAAATTTTGTATATAATTGATTTTTAATTATCTTTTACATATTGCAG